ATTTGGTAATTATCGCCGAACGCGATTACATTCGGGCAAGGTTAATTCTCAGCCGACGATTGAATACATCGATCGGTGTTCCGGGATTGTGTCGATTAAGTTGGAGAAATTGCTTGGATTATTCACTTTGTTGGATACTTGTTGTGCAACGGTGTTTCGAAAAATAGAGATTTCGACACGTGTAGCATGATATCTTTGACGTTGAATCGTGTCTTGTCGAAATGTGAGAGCAATTGGAGAAAAATTTTTTCCAAAAGTAGATATTTGAAGTGAATCCAAATATAAGGAAATATTGTCCTTTTTTTGTCGGATATGTTAATGCTTTTTTTCAAACGTAAATCAACGTAACGTCGATCGATACTGTATATTTTTTTGAAGATTTGAACAACGCCTAAACAAGTGATTTTCATTAATAAAAATTCTATCTAAAAGATTTATCTTAAATGTATTCTACTAAACATTTTATTGACTCTTGCACATATTTTCGAACTTGTTTCAAACTTTTACTTTACATCTAATCTTACCTATTTTAATTTTCATTTTCCAAATTTTATGCAACACATACATTCATGAAAACTTTCTATAAAATGTTCTGATAAAATATTTAAATATTTTTAATCGATTCAATTTCATAAAACGAAATGGAAACGCCCTTAAATTTACATCGAAAAGATTGTTTTCCCAATCTACAAACGCTTAGAATCTTCTCTATACATAACAAGGATCCTTTCTATTTACATTTCGACCCCTTTCGATTTCAACTTGCTTTATTCTCGTCGCAGAGCGAGCGAGACACGGTTCTCTACGGTAATCGATATCTCGCCTGATATGTCGGGACAAAAACGGTCAACGTGAATCGCATTCGAGTCACCTGTCACCGGTTCAGGATTAATTGTCAATCGTGCATGGGCCGATAAATTTCAAACAGAGGCTGAGCCCCCCCGATTTCTTCGCCGGCCGATGAGAAATGGCAATCGAAACGAACGACGTATCCCCGCCCCGAGTGAAATATCATGACGCTTCCGCGACGTTTCTAAGAACCACTTTGGAACCGCCTGGGAAATCAAGATTTTGCGCGGCTCGTGTTTAACCGTGCAAAGTTTCCCGGGGATATGAAATTTGAGAATTGTGCGAAGTGCAAAATTAACGCGGATGAAGTTTGTCGTTCGTTGCATTCGTTCTAGGAAGAAGGATAGAGATCTCTTGGAATTGTTCCTTACCTTATTTCGAAGTATAATACTTGTTGTGCAAGAGCAAAAAATCTCTCGGTTGGTGGAAATTTTATTCCTTGCTGTTTCGATAAATTTTTCTCGAAAGTGTTATGAAACGTTTACAAGATACTGTTTTTAAATATGAGTTGTTTATTCTCGAATAATATTAATCGTGAAAAGTATCGGAATAATGAGTAATATGAAGAATATTATTCATACGAATTGAATGATTTAATGTTGCTAATAATTGAATCAGAGTAGATTTCAGAAACAATATTTATCTTGTATACATATAAGTAAAAATCATTTTAGATTGTACAGAATTTTTATTTTCATATACAATTTATGTGATTTTATCTTATATATCTTAAACTGATATCGTTTTTGCCAATACGTAACTCCACTTAGATAGAAATTTTCAATGCACGCAAAATACGACGATTAGTCTCGATACAAATAGAATAAGCTAAGCTGCATTCCCTCGAGAATAAATGTTCGAAATGAGAACCACTTCCAGATATATGTTTCGTACATCCTGATGAATTTCAAGAGATTAACAATTCTGTACGTTGTGCAAAAAAAATTGAAAATTTGTGAAAATATGGGAAAGGACAGATATTGTGATGATTATGTGAAAAAGATGAATGATGATATAATCTCAAATAAAATTTATATCAATGTTATGTTTGGTTATAACAAATATTTTAAATACGAATAACGAATTATGTATACAAAATTAAAAAAGTATTTCAAATATTTAATTTTGCAAAGGAAAAGAATTTTCAATTTATTGAAAATGATATTCAGATTCATCATTATTTATTATTAGTTTCAAAAAATGTTTTCAATTGGAAAGAATATATATATAACTTTTATTTTGAGGAATAAATTCCGCCGTGAACATTCCAAACATTCGAAATATATTATTACAACAAATAGTTTGATAGAAGAGCTAATATTTTTCGTACAAAAACCACTTGCTCTGCTCCAAAATTCCTCTACACATTCATTCGTTCTAACGTTCTAAAATTTCAAACGAAATATTCCAAATAATTATCAGAGATCTTTCAGTATTATAGAATTATTATTTTGAGTTTGAACAACACGTATAAACAAAGTCATCATTACGTTTATATAAAAAAAAAAAATCTTAAAGATCCACTTCGAACAATATGGAATCATTAAATGAAAAAAAAAAGATACTCTTTCATTCGACTAAACCAAAGTTAAAAACGTCTTCCAATACGCATAATCGGCAAAAAGATTTAATCGAGTTCGTGAAATTTCAATTTAATGTCAGCATCGCTTCGAGGCAAATTGAGCTCGATCATCGTTTCGTCTCTGACTTTTTTATGCACCTTCTTTCAATTCATCGAACAATTTATTCAATTTCCTCGATCACTTGGATAAAAAGAAATTCTCGAGCAATCTTTGCTCTTCCCTCTCTCTCTCTGTTCAACTATAAATCATATTTGTATATTGAATCATATTTTGTAAACTTTCGAGACGAATTATTCTTTTTGACAACGAATATGATAGCAAAGGAAGATAGTAAATTAATTACAAATAATATTGAGTTTAATTTTAAAATGAGATTAATAATCTCAATTCTCTGAATTACTGTTTCAATAAATATTTTAAATAATATTGAAAGTTTATTTTACTCAGATTTAGTATTCTATTGAATAGTATTATTATAGTTACAATACACATAATATTATTCATAATAGTAGTTCATTAATAGTATTATAGAATACTAATGTAATGTTTAATATTGTTCAATATATGTCTCAATAAATCTTGTCATTAGTATTCGATCGAAAATTGCAAGCAATCCATTTTAAAAGTTACTTTGAGACACGATGTTCCATTAGTGTCGAAAAGGTTAATGTGCAACTCGAGATGAACGAGAAACACGATTCTTCTTTTTTAAAACGATCAACGATACATGACGATGAAGGAGGATGGAAATGCCGGTCATAAAAGTTAGAACACGTTAAACCACATCTCGTTTGGCTCTCGATCAAAGAGCAACAGATAAACGAGAAGCTTAAAGGGAACCGAGAAACCGTTTAAAAAGCATTCTACGATGAAACAAGCATTCTTTGAGGGGTAGCTTCGGTATTTCATGTGAGTCGTTTTTTTTTCTTTTTTTTTCTTTTTTTTTTGCATGTAGAATAAAAGGAAAAAAAGGATATCGGTGAATATTCTTGAAAGAGAAAAGGTAGCGAAACTTTGTAGGATATTTTTTTTCCAGGAAAATTTTGTCAAAGTATATTCTTTGAGTGTAAATGAAAAGCAAGAAAAATATATTTTAAAATGTCGAAGAAAGAAAAGATTGTGGAAATTTATTTAAATATTTAAGTATTTTCCATGGATTTTTCTAAAATTTAAAAATCCTTGATGTATAAATATTTATAATAAGAAGAAATTTTTATCAAAATAATTACCGCGAATTATTCAATTATACTATATTATTTCGTTTAGAATGTTAAAGAGATGGATTAAAATAAAGCAAACAAAATTAACAATAAAAAGATTTCAATGAAGATATTATTTTCGAAGAGATTACGTTTGAAAAATTGATAATGTTTTATTATAAAAAATTATCAAAAATTGAAAAAGACAGTTTTCTATTTTATAAATGCAAATTTTATTACAAAATTACATACTTTCCATACAATACTTTCATTCTATACTATTTATTATACTGAAATTCACTCAGGAAAAACTGAAACATTCTATATAACTGGAGTTACGTATTGTTTTGAATTATTTAAAAAAAGTAAATAACGTTACTTCTTATTAATTATCAATAATTTTATTAGCAATTGTTAATTCTTACCAATAATTTATTTACACAAATCAAACGATAAAAGACGAATCAAAGTATAAATCAAGATAAAATTTATATATTTCGTGTACCACTCGTGTTTCCTTCAAAGAGAAAATTTCGAAATTTCGTCAGCGCAGCAGCTTCAACAAGGGTTGATGATGAACCAATGCAACAATCAATTTATCATGTCTGCAACGTGTGCGAAACATAAATTTTCCAAACGTATCAATTTTCCAAATATATCAATCCTATATACAATCAATCGTGAAATGGGACCTCAAAAATTCCACAAGATTTTATGAAAGAAAAAGGGAACGAATGAGAATAAATTATAGTGAATTTCCTTTAATTTCGCGCGAAGGATCGTTCGATAAACATGGAGAAGCAAAAATAGAGAATGGATTAAAATAATTGATCAAGTGGTTCTTGAAACGTAGCTAAATTACTGTATCCAATCAAGAGCAATTTTCGAGAAATTCTTATCCTCAGATGGACCATAAGAAATTAAAGAGAATTTGTGAATAAAACTATTTCTAAAGAAATACTTTCGAGATCAACGATTTTACTTTTATCAAACGTACGTTTTTTTTTAACAAACTCGGCGGAGAAGACGTGTCTCTCATTGTCGAAGAAGAATCCAGAGGCTCAGTCTGTCGATGGCCGCGGATTTTACCTAGTTTTTTATACAACCAGACACGAAACGCTCCTTCACGACACGTCAACGTTCCTCGAACCTTCTCCTCGCACGATTTTTATCGAATACCAACACCGCGCGCCATTTTATTCTGCTGTCCGTAGTTGCTGCGAAAGCGATGGTGGTAGTAGGTGTAGAAAGCGAAAAGTGACATAAAGCTGTCGCACGTGCATGTATGTCCGCTTCTCTGTGTGTGACCTAGCAGAAATGCCACGGCCATAGATGTTTGCCTCTGTTAATCGAACTTTGACGTTGTTAGGTCGACCTCGTGCTCAGCTCGGAGACGGGCGGTGACCTGTCCGATTTTATCACGAATGGAGAATGGTACCTGATCGGTGAGTACATCTGGATTATATATATTTTTTTTAATCTTTGATATAAAAATAGTATAAAGAATTCGAGAAGACAAGTTAAAGTATCGAATTTCGGTAATCGATGACGGATAAATTTAATGGAATTGGATTTAATTGAGTAGTGTGTAAATGTTGTAAAACGAATGTAAAATGATGTGCAAACAGTTCGTTGGTCACAATACATCTCATTTGGAAGAATACGATTGTTCGTTTCATTTCTTTCAGTGTAATAATTAGGCGATTGTTGAATATGAATGTATTTCTTCCTTTTAAATATTATATTTAATGGTATTTTCAATAATTTCAAACGTTTTGATCGTTATTTAATCAGTTATGATTCTTCTTTTTTCATATCATTATTCTTTTATTGAGGAATACGCGAGAGAGAGAGAGAGAGAGAGAGAAATAGTAATCTAAAATCTTGGATCCTTTCCTTTTTTATCAATTAGTCAAATTTAGTTTCGAAATTTCTGAAAATATGCTGATTTTTTACCATGAAAGAAAATGAAAGTCTTATCAGTTCTTACACTGAAACTTTATTCAAACTGAATAAATATTCTAGATTTCGTGACATGAATTTTCGCGTTGTTTAAACAAGCTGGTATCATGAATACAAACTTATATACACTATATATACGTATATAAAGCACGTATATATCATTTCTTTATACAATAAAAAATTAACAAACTTTTTCTTATCTTTTAAAACACTTTGTATTAATTCGTAAATATTCGTAAATATCCATGTAAATTGTTATACATATTCTTAAAATTTATATACAAATTTTTGTTCAACATTGAAGTTTTTTCGCAAAAAAAAAAATATCATTATCTTTCAGTAATATTATTAGTAAAATGAGAATTATTGCAGTAACGATGATCTTGAATTTTGAATTCACTGCCTTAATATTTTTCAAGTAATAAGAAAGTTTTATTAAATGTCCATAGAAATTATGTAGATATTTTCAATCTTCCACTAGTTTAAATTTTAACAACGAAATACAAGTTATTCGAGATGTCTTCGAATTTAATGTAAATTTATCTTCAGGTAATAATAATTTACTTCAATATTCAACAGCAAGTAGAACAGATATATCATATCTTAGACGACTATTAAACTTAGCTCAGGAGCAAGGAATATAAGTCAATAACTATCAGCACCGACAAGTAGCTCAACTCAGTACTAAATCAGACAGATACATAGAGAAAAGAATATATTAAAAACATATATAATGTAATATATATGTTTGTATAAAACGTATAAAATTAAAATAATATTAATATTATTTTGGAAAAATTCTTTTATATTATTACTATTTTTACAAATAAGATATATTTTATTATTTCTATATTCAAAAATATTATTAAATATAGATATAGAGATAAAATTTCTATTATCAGTTTTGTAATGCATTAATAAAAATAATAATTTCTAAAAAAAATTTTGCAATTCCAATTTTGAGTGCTAAAAATCAATTAGAATATATGTATAAATCATTAGTTGTTTTCAAAATATCATCCTCGTTATAGTTTTCTAAATTCTACATTGTTGAAAATCAAGTTGTTTGCAAGTTCTTTGTAGCATTTTCTACAACAATATTCTATTGTAAATTGCAAATCAACTAGTTCTAGCAGCAACGATGGATCGCAAACCGAACTCGTACCAACTAGTTCTAACAGCAATGGATTATCGAAAATCCATTTTCCATTCTATACGCTGATTTTGACACTGTAATAGAATATATGTCAATTTGAAGTATTAACACGTTTGAACGTAGAAGTGTTGATGCAAGTTATATTCCATATCGTCATGGACATTATTTTAAATATTTGATCCATCGAAAATTCCAGTTGCAAACATTAAATTCCATCCATGAAACATTTTAAATATTTTCAATTTTCTGTATTAATTAGAAAATCGTGAGAATCGTGATGATACAAGTTCAATAGAAAATAGAATTGTAATGTTTTAAATTTCATATTATTTTAAATTAATCGATTCTGTCTTATTATTGTTCAATATAATAATAAGACTGGAACATAAGTATATAAAAAAGCATTTTTTTTTAAATATCTCTATTAAAATATATTGTGTGCCTTACATTATTTTATTTTGATTTTCAATTTTTTACTTTTGTTAAAATTTTTTACCTATTGTTAAAATTTCTTCTCCTTCTTAAAAAGATTCTTTGCAAAATAAGTTTAATCATACTACATACATTTGATTTTTTTAAAATCCTATCAAATAATATCAATTTTTCCCTCTTCATAGTGGCATTCCATTCCTATAAGAAAGAAAATGACTATAATGCATTGCACCCTGCACACTCATAATATTCATATACATATTCATACATACATAATGAATTCATTAAGAAACACAATTATCTGAAATAAACACAGACTTATTTTTATAAAACTAGAATGGATATCGTTTCAAGTTGATCTCAATCCTCGTCATTCCGTTCTGAATCCAATTCTCACGAAATTTTCTCTGGCCATAACAAAAACTCCTCCTATTTGTGAATACCTCCGCCACATAACGTTTCTTAATAATGTTTCAACAGAGGAAGCCAATTTCCAGGTTTCCATGGTAAAATGCATTCTTCGTTTTCCCGCGCGCGATATTCGTGCCACTGGCGCGTAAAGGAATGCTGATAGAAGTCGTTAGAAACCCACTTCCACGCTCCTCCAATCCCAAAACCGTCGTTGCGCGATAAAGATATCTCATCGTCTTCCGTGCCGTCGTGCATCATAAAGTCTCTAATCGATGTGGCGATTGAACAAGCCTCGAATCGTTTTACGGCCCTTGGAATCTCGATGTCCACGATTTGGTGGGCGATTCACTCTTTCGATTCACTCTTGACTCTTCTTCGATATAGCGATGGGATCGAATCAGTATTGGATTAAGCGATAAACGACGTAAACTTTAAGTATCGAGGAAAGAACTATTTTTTTTCAGAAAATAGATCGAAATTAGAATGATTCAAATATAAAGTTACTTAATACTTAAGAATTATGAGAATCAGAAAGATCTAGAATTGCTGATGATGATTTATAATTTTACTTTATACAGTCTCAATATCAAAAATTTAATTTGATCGTACACGAATTGTAATAAATATTTTCAAAAATAACTGGAAGAAAATTGATTTTAAATACAAAAGAATTTTGCAAGTCAATTTTCCAAACCCATTCGCGAGATATTCGAACCCATCGCTATTCGTCACGATAGTTTCGTAGTGTTGTTCGAATTTTCTTCGCGATTTTGTGAACGTGTATGAAAACGCTTGGCCAGGAATCTGAAACCGAAGAATAATGGAAAATGGTTGCGATAATCTTAACGAAATTGCGTTAATAAATTTTTTCAATGTGTAGCGTAGCAAACTCTAGCCTGTATCTAGCCTTAATACTTTCCTCTTTTAAGGCTTACAGTGAAAATTCTCACCGTGATACTTGCCTCGAGAATGAAAAGATGGGTCGAGATGACTTCGAGGTGAGTGTCTGGAGGTAGTTTCGTGGACGGTGAGTTTATTGCTGAATATGTTGGGTGATTTGACATAGATGGCGAGGAATAGAGTGTGTGCAATATCCTGTAAGACGATGCAAAGTTGATATGACTCGGAGGAGAGTGATTTTGCATAAATGCGTAACTGGAAATGATGCTCGGCTTTGATGTTATTATTGAAAATGTTGCAATATCCATGTTTTTCTCTTGAATCATCTTCGAAATTTCAATATTATATTGAGATTGCTCCCAGTGTAATACTTTTAGAGATATTGTGAATAATGAATAATTTATGAAAGGATATTTCTTTTCTTCTGAGAAAATTAACAGAATTATTGTTAAACAAGTATACTATTCTTCTTAGAAATCGTTTTTATAAAAGCAAAAGTAAAATAAATTATCAAGATATCTCGAACATATGTTCTTTTTTCTTTTTTTATTTTATATCGTTTTCGATATTGTCAAAGCCACGTTGATATTTTTATTTAAAAGCAAAGAAATGTCACAAAGGCACAAAATAAAGTTATAAATTCTGAAATTCATTTTAGAAATACACAAAACAGAATAAAAAAAAAACAAGAAGAAAGAAATACAACTATTTTGCATAAAATTGCGAACAGTAAAAGTCATCCACGATCCCATAGAGAAGCGTGTGCAGCGAAATAATTAAAATTGCACATTTGCACAATAAGGCAGGCACAGATGCAGCTTCTATTTCACGACTAGAATCATGCGGAATATTAGCTTGTATAAATGCCAGGAAAAAGTGTTCCAAAGATTCAGCAACAAGTGAACGTCCTCCTTTTCTTATCCTTGAATCATCAGGTGAAAATCGTGAGAGACATTATTTAATTAGAGATAATTAAAAGACCCTTTCGATATCTATCACATGTTTTATTAAATTTTATGATATCTGTGCACATATGTTATTTCAATCGATATTAAACCTTTTTATTTCGAACAAAGAAGTGAAATTACACTTTGGAAATATACACATAAAGTAGGATAGAATCGTTGAAACTAGCTATTTTATGAAAGACAACTTTTTATAGATATAATCGTTGACTTGAAAATTTAACGTTTATCATCTCGAATATAAAAAATAAGTAGATATAATATTTCATGATATCATTATCTTTAGAATTATAACTGTTCGAAGTTTTTCATAATTTTTAATCGAATTTTAAGTTCAAGATAAATATATTTCTAGAAGAACGAATAATCTAACTTTCTTAAAAACAAAATTCATATAAGAAAAAATTTTCGATGATCTTTTCTTAGTTAAAAAATGCATCGTTTCATTCGCCAATAATTTTACTTGACTGTAAACGACACCGTAAGATTTCCAACAGATGTAATCGTCTCGTAAAAACAATTAAACACAAGTCACGAGGCATCGTGCTCGTATTTTCCCAGTTACTTCTGTTATGACTATGCTCGGCCACCCCAAACGATGCATGCTCCCCCCTCGTAATTCGAAATTAGTCTGAGAGTTCGTGTCACGCGCACGATGCACGTTGCTCGCGAAATTAGCGAGCCATGTAAACCGTGCGCCGCAGTCAGCTTGATCAAAATTAGAGGTCGAATGTTAATTATACAATTTGTTCTTTCCGCTTACGATTGTATCGTTCTCAATCTTGGTTTCGTTCGGGAGAAACACGAAGTCTCGTGATATAAAGTTAATTGTCCTCGAAACTGAGAATCTCGAAAACGAATGACCATTCGTATTCGTATTATCATCCAGAGTATCAGTTATCAATATCTGATATGCAGTGTGGATTCAAACTTAAAATTGTTAATTAATAGGATTGATATTTTCTAGTAATGAATGATCGATTTAAAGAATATTGTTTATCTTGATACTTTGAAACTACTATTCATATTATCATCCAGGGTTATCTTTAGAATTATTAATTAATAGGATTGATAATGAATGATGGATTTAAAGAAATATTGTTTATCTTGATACTTTGAAACTACTATTCATATTATCATCCAGGGTTATCTTTAGAATTATTAATTAATAGGATTGATAATGAATTATCGATTTAAAGAAATATTGTTTATCTTGATACTGTGAAACTATTTTATCATCCAGGGTGTTAGTTATCTTTAAAATTATTAATTAATAGGATTGATAATGAGTGATCGATTTAAAGAATATTGTTTATCCTGATACTTTGAAATTCAAACACAATTTGCTCGAGTAATTAAAACAATAAAGCTCTGCTCCTTTTTCATCGTAAAAGAATAGCATAGAATAGAATTTCTCGTTGAAAAAGACTCGCTTAAAATTCATATCGATTTCCTATCCATTGTCGAAACCAGTGAAACACACATCTCCCAAGGGTAAGCACTTAACACAATTACCGTATTCGGCCCGCAACGGGTGTTTAAACTCCTATCGGAATTTGCACCGTGCCAAATTACACCGTCGCGTGCAACAGTCGCCAAACTCACTTTCACACGCGGTCAAAAGCGGCGCGCTGCATGAACGGGAACAAGAGAGGTGTGGCAGCGGATGATTTGAATTTCTCCCTGAGCTTCGTTGGAAACGATTCGACGAGGATCTGTCTATCTAATGGTGCGATACCCTCCGATTGTGTACAATTCTTTTCTATATCTTGCCGTTTAAAATCACGTTAGGCACTTAGGTGTCGAGGTACTGTTAAATTTGTAAAATTCATACGAGAAAAATCTATAACGTGAATGTTAGAAAAATAAAAATCTTACGATGGATTTAAGCATTTAAAATCTTTTTCGAGTTAAATATATATAACAATGTATAGCTAATCAATCTTGTACTATTGATCCATACCAAGTAAATTTGATCGAAAAATATGTTAGTCAAAATATGTTGGTCAAAAATCTGTCACACAGATTTATCCCAATTGAATCGTGTTCATTAAACATATTGTCAAATTTACTAACTAAATTTCGCTTTGTGTTGCAGGAATGCCGGGCAAGAAGAACACGATAACGTACCAATGCTGTCCGGAGCCTTACGTCGACGTCACATTCACCATACAGATACGAAGAAGGACCCTCTACTATTTTTTCAACCTGATCGTGCCGTGCGTGCTGATATCGAGCATGGCCCTCCTGGGGTTCACCCTTCCGCCAGATTCCGGGGAGAAGCTCACCTTAGGTAACGTAACTCGTAGCATGCCTTGCCTGCCAAGTATCACACCAGCCAAACAATAATACACCTTCTTTCTCTCTCTCTCTCTCTCTTCTTTTTTTCTTCTTTTTAGTTCTCTATTCTTCCGTTGATACTTTTTTCGAATTGTCACATACACACGATATGTATACTCTCTGTCTGTCTATCTCTATCTATCTTTCTTTCTATATCTGTCTATCTCTCTTTGTATATGTATGTATGTATACACATACACTTGGAGTCTTGCGACTGTTTGATTGATTTAGTCGGATTATGTTTCTACGATATATTTACCACCTATCTATCTCGCCACTGAAACGCCATCGAGCTGTACTTATCGCGTTCCGTGACAGAAAGATATTTGGAAAAATGGTAACAGGTGTTTTCTTTTCTTTTTTTTTTCTTTTTTTTTTTCTTCTTCTTTTTTAGGGATCGAATCGAAATCGATGGTCGGTCGATATGTTCGATTCGAACGGCCGGACGACATTGCGAATATAATTACACGTTTTCGACGTCTCTCCCTTTAATTATTCCAACGATTCCTCAGTGTGTCTCTTATCCGATAAGTGACAGTGGAATATGGATAAATTTGGATAGATTGAGAGATATGATATGAAAATTGTCCACGTCCATCAGATATATTTATGGATTTTTGAACGTTAAAAGTTGAAACGTATATTAAGAAATTTTTATTTTGCAATAAGTATTTGAATATTTTTTAAAATATGGACAATGACAATTTTTGATACTATATACTTCTCGACGAGTTTTTTTTTAATTTTTTTTAATCTCAAAAATAGGTGAAATATCATTCTTCGATTCTTCGATCTTCTTCGATCAGAATCAGGCGGCGTCGAGAATTATCGATTCTACGTAACATCTGGTTCGTTCCATCAATCTTTGTGTTTTAATGAGATCGACCTGGTATTGAGCTTCCTCGATCTTCGACCCTGGTTTGATTAACGCTTCGAGATAATTGCTTTTGTTCGGACGGTGAACGAAAATGCTCTTCTCGATTATGAATGGAAATATTGCTTCGTGTTTTAGAGGATGTTCACGGTAGTTGTGTACAATAGTTTCGTTTAGGTGTCTAATCTCTATTTGCAGATTTATTTTAAGACTCTTTGTTGTCGCGTGTGTTTTTCGACGAAATTCGGAAATATTGAATTTAAGGAGAAATAAATGGGATATCGTGGTCTTAAACACGTCGATAAATTCGATCAAAATATTCCATGAATATTTCACGTAGGATATTATCCTCGTAATGGTTTATTTGGAGATATTTTTTAATAGATATTCGAAGGAATAAATATATATGACGAAAATTTGGCGATATATCCAAATTTCAATTATGAATTTCATTGTGTATTTAATTCTCGAGATGCAAAATTTAATATTTCATTCTTTCCGAATGGAATTATACGTGTGATTCGTATACATATTTTCTCATTTGCAAAAATACGCTACGTGTTTTATTTATTTATTTCTTTTTGCAACAATATTAATTATACCAATTGTATTTAGAGCAAAAGTAAACGGGGAAAAAAATGAAAAAAAATTTGATGGTATTTCGTTTAATCCTTAATTTGTGACATGCGCGTGTGTTCTTTAATTGTTTCAAATTCAATTCATTCTGTGGCAATTTTTGGTAATTGATTTGGCAAATGAAAGCGAATATTTAATGGCATGTACGATGCGGAATTTTTTTTTTTTTTATTAGTTCATTGAACGATATTGATTCTTTTTTATTAACGACGAAAATAAAATACTGTAATTGAAAAAGGAAAACAATTACCAACATGTGATCAGATTGTTTATTGAAATTTCAATTTTAATCGTATTCATTATTCAAAAGATAAAATGTTTTTGTTAGTGAATGGAATAAGTATTATTTTATTTAAAATGGAACACATATTAAATATATTTAAATTCAATTGTTTAATCTTCTAATAGTTTCTTTGTGTACGTTAAAAGAGATACAAAAGTTGTAAAATATATAATAATATTAGAAAATTCTTGAGAAAAGTTTTTGAATACTTTATGCACGCAAAATTGTTTCTTACATATCTTTTCTTACAGTTATGTTCGATAAATAAGAACAAATAAAAACTACAAAATAGTAAGAAAAGAGCAAATATATATTTATGAGAATAAAAGCTTTCATATCAATTATTAAATCTGTTCAAAAAAAATTCGTATTCATGCTTTAAATCAAATACATATTATACATATTTTCAAGATTATTCAATAAAACATAAAAAATATTTTATATAATTGTAACAAAGACACAGTTTTAATAGAAAGACTTTATTAGAACCGTTGATATTCCACGTCACTAATTAAGGATCGAACGATTTCTATTGAATTTAACACTGATAACTGCTGTTACGTACGCATGATTTCATCCAACCAGTGATTATTAGCCGATATTACAAAAATTTTATTCGCATTCCAACGTGATTCAATAATATCTTTCTTTAAATTGCTCAGAACATCGAATCATAACTTTGACTTGAATTACCTAATTTCAATTCGTACGTTATATCTCTCTACAATAATTAATCCTTGTCTCAATTTAATAATTCTTAAATTCGAATTTCGATTGACATTTTTCAAAATTCTAACTGAAAAAACGTATTTCAAAATAACACAAACCATATCATCCATCATCTCAATAACATAACTTCCTTATTCGAATATTTCACTAATAATCACTTATTAAATAAATTCATCGTGTCTGAGAGAAGCAAAAATTGCTTCGTGGAAAATCAGTTGGCCACCTTTTCGTATTCTCTCGACGTCGATGGCATGGATAGGCTCTCTCGTAAAATGGCGATATCTATGGGAAGGCCGAGTTGTTCCATCGATATTTTCAGCCGCCTTATATGCTCGACCACGATCTCCGTCAACTCCCATCGGGGGCGTCGCGTGATTTCAATTTTGGATAGGCTGCATCCCGCGAATTGCAGCGGGGAAAATCTGCACAATACGTCGTGCATTATGCATGCTGAAGTTGGCCCGCTGCCTATCTATCCTTGATGAGGTTGCAACAATTGACTTTGAGGTGTGCCTTCTGGGATCGGCGGCGGATGGCTCTGGCCACATGTGGACACATGGTTAATTATTAGATTGTTTGGAAATAAATTGCGGTTGCCGAGCATGAAGTTTGTCCGTTTCAAAACCACCTTGTTCGAACAGAGTTTTATTGATTCTTTGTTTATGCAGATACTCGGAGAGGATCGATAAATTATATTTCAACGATAATTAGAATATAAGGGAATAAAATTAAATAATTAGAATTTATTTCTTGACCTAGTTATCTATCGAGTGCTTGGAAAATTAAGTTTCTTATTGAAATATCGTTATTTATCGTTTTTTTTTATGGATCAAGAAATCCTATTTATACTTTCATAATGTAAGTTTTGGATTAGCAGATAAGAATAATATTCACGTTCGTATAATTATTTGGATTTAGTGTTACTGTTTAAGTATGCATACCGTGCTTTTCTCGCTAAAAGCTCAGATGAATAAAATTCGTGCTGCGGTCAAGGTGTTGAGTCATGTAGAGATTTACAGACACTATCTCTGTTTGCATATAAGGATCGTGGATGACAGTCTAGGGATAGTCCAGGAATTCTGTAAGATATGGTGTGCAATGTCCACAATGTATACAGACATCCATATTTTAATATCTTTTGTGTATAATTTATCTTATTGTTACGTATAAATCATGATCAATATTTATTTTCATTTGTCATCGTCAAAGATTATGGTATTTCATAACTATTAGATGATAATATATATTTTACATTTTCAAATTGTATATTATTTCATTGTAATGAATTAAAGATTTTCGTGAATGAATTAAATCTTTAATCAAGAAATATTATATAATTAAATATTTCATTGGAAAAATTTAATATGCGATGGAAACCGCAATTTATTCTGCATAACTTATACAGCTTCCTATAAAATATGCCCTAAACATATATTAAAGTGTATATTGTCTCATGAAAACGAAACAGCATTTGCACATAAAAGAATATGAAGAGTTCAGAATATTATATTTCCTTTATTATTAGTGTTATAGTTTCAGTATTATAGTCCATTCAAACTCTATGGTATATATTAAATAATATCATAATGTTCCTAAATAACTATATAAAATAAAATCTGAGAAATAAAAAAATACAAGTTAGGGAAAAAATAGAGGAACAAAAATAATTTAATAAGTAAAATAATCTCTCAAAATTCACTTTTAATTTAGAAATCACAATTATTGTTTCATCAAAACATCGATATTATTACTTTCCCCGAATTTGTTGATAGAAACATATTTGTCGAATCTTGTAAACGTTTCATCATAAATTGAAATGAAAATTCCCTAATCTCTTTTAAAAGAGGAATACTTGTTTTTCGAATAACGAATCCTTGAAACTTATTTGTCGTTGCAAGTTTTGGAGATTTCAAGATGATTTCTATTAATCAAAAACTAATTATATATGCTCAAACAAATGGAAGTGGATGAAAAAGAAAGATTGCCTCTTCATACATCTTTTGGAAGAAATTTAATCATAATGGTTTTGCAAAAATATAGAATATAGAATACACTTTTGACATTATATATTTTTCTTCTAGTAATAAATATTTCGTTTTTTACTATTTAAGAACAATTTTCTAAAAAAAAATTGTTAAAGAAAGTATTTTATCAAAATGATCTTGATTTTTGCATCGAAGATTGTAAATATCAAAGCCAATATTTATTCTTTGGTTACTCAAGATTAATATATATTTAATCATAATTAACATTATTAAAAATTATTATTAAAAAAATAATAAAAAAATGATCTATCTATCGTTGATATTTATCTATTTCAATAAAATGTATCTATAAAAAAATAATATTAAAAGATAAAAATCCACAGAGTATAATTTATTGCTCTATATATCTTACAATCTTCGAATTCATTTAAACAATTTCGACTTAA